TCTCTCTCTCTCTCTCTCTCTCTCTCTCTCTCTCTCTCTCTCTCTCTCTCTCTCTCTGTATGTGTGTATGTATGTGTGTGTGTTGGCCTGAGTTTACATAGCCAAGCCTGAAACTCATGGCCATCTTGCAGCCACAGCCTCCTGCATACTGGGATTATGGACATGAGCTACCATGCTCAACTGCCCTGTTTCATTTCAATCTCTTTAGAATCAGTTGATAGTGGTTACTGGGATAACCCCGCTACAGCAAAATGAGCAATGTTTAAACAGTGCATCTGAGGTCACAAGCCCTCAGTGACTCTCTAGAAGAAAGTTATAATTGTATCTTATCAGTGAAAAAAGACAAGCTACTAATGGCAGAATAAATACTGCACCTTGCCCAGAAGCTTCTACTAAAACCAAGACTTTGACAACCTCCAAAGTATTTTACTGGGCAATCTGCCCTCCAGGGCCTCTAACTGCCTGCCAGTTTTCTCAAAGTCAGCCAAAATGTCAGGACAGAAGTTCTGTATCTTTCTTACAGAGTTTTTTTTTTATGCCAAAGTACTCTAAAATGCATACAAATATCAAAAACATAGATGCATCAATATATTAATATAACACAATGCAAAACAATACCTAGAGTTGGGCATGGTAATACATTTAAGAGAATAAGGTCATTTGAGAAACAACATCTGATCCCATTGTAGAAGAAATCATGAAACTATTTGGAATATACATCAATGAAAAACCATAAGAGATGAGGAAGCAAAAATTAGAAAACATTCTTAGAAGGAAAGAAAAAGACAATTCAAAATTAAATTTTAAAGCTTAAATTGTCTGGACTAGTATGATGGCTTAGCAGGTAAAGGCACCTACTATACAAACCTAACCACTTAAGTGTAAATCCCAGAACTCACATAAAGGTGAAAGAATATAAATGATACAAACACATAGTCCTTTATGATCCACAAGTAAGCTACGTCAAATGCATGTGCCTTCCAACACAGATGTGCACGCACATGAACACGGTAGTGATGGTAAGAGTATATATTAAGTTTTCTTAATATCTAATATCTTAAGTAGATAAACTACCACCAGCATGGTTGGAAATCAATGCCATGTCCTTGGAATAGCAGATGACGGGAATGGCTTACAACAAGGAGAAAAGACAGAAAGACAGGACTAGCAAGGCAAGCATCCTAACATGAGAGTTTTAGGAATGCCAGAAGGGATCCTTAAAGGTTAGAAAAGAATAAAGGACG